GCCAGACGAGGTACTCTTCAAGCGAAAGAATGCGCCCATCCGATACGAGGAAGATGACTATTATCCCGCTCACAACAAGTTACCTCCAGACCAAAAGCTGCCCAGTGGAGATCTGGCCACCGCAATGAAAGCCTACATCGAGAGGCTGTGGGTCAAAACTGGACGACGCCGCCGCTTCTCGCGCAAGCTCATGCGAAGGACGTGGAGAGGCCTGAATGAAACCGCGCTTATTGCTCTGTGCATTCTGATGGAAGAAACGGCGCGCGATGCACTGGGTGAGACGGGAGATTTGGCTTTTACCGAAGCCGCTGAGGAACATGAACATGAGATTCTCACGAGTCTGAAGAAGGCGAAGAGGGCGAAGAAGAGTGGTGCGCAGATACAGGGTACCGGTAAAGAGAAGGAGCAGCCAAGTGTTGATAAAGAGAAGCAGCCGGTTGAAAAGAAGACAGGGAAGCATGTGACGTGGGTTTCGTCCGATGAGTCGTCGTCGACGTCGTCGTTTGATGACTCAGAAGAGTCGGACGACTTTGAAGAGGATCTGGATTGAGTATCACAATACGTGGAATGGCGAAGTTCAGGAGTGAAAAGTTTTCATTTCGACCTGGAGCCAAAAGATTCGCAAGGAGGACTTGATGGATCAAAGATGATGCCATATGTGTATCACCGCCTCGTAGGCCCATTTGAACGCACACCTCTGATCTTCACGCCGTAATATTCAAGTTCTACTGCAGAAAGGAGATTACCGGGTGTCGTAGATGAGTGCCAATAGTGTTAATGCGACCGAGGTTCTAGCTGGGCTGAGGTCGTGCCTGCCTCCTACCACAGCCGGGAACCTAGCGTGCCTTCCTCCAAGCGGGAAGACGCGATCAAAAGCGCGCTCGTATCTCGCGACCTTAGTCTTACACACGATCGTCTCGGTCATCGCTTCTCATTCTTTCCTTGCTACCTCACTTCCGCTGCAAGAGCATTCGTCCTCTTAGTCGAGCGAAAATGGTCAGTTCAGACATGATTCCCGCTCGAGCACTCACTAACACTAGCAGGCACCCAAGACTCAGCCCAACCCGCAGAAGGCGGCATCCATTCTTGCCTGGTTCCATAAGACGGCGCAGGCTCATAGCATCAAGGACCTCGAAAAGACGCTGCCACAAGTATCCTCTATCAACGGCATGCAGGTCAAGGACTACCTCCAAGCACTCTCAGACGACAACAAGATTCGTGTCGAGAAGATTGGTAGCGGCAACTGGTACTGGAGCTTCCCAGCCGACGAAAAGAAAGCCAAAGATGCTGCTCTCAAGAAGGCCCAAGAGGAGTTCGAAAAGGCCACCGCTACTGTAGCCGAACTTCAGGCCAAAGTGGATGATGCGGGTGCAGCTCGCGCTGATGACGAGGAGATGCTCATGGAGACAGGTAATTACCAATCTACCATGCGTTGCACTCATGCTCATCACTCGCAGGTGGCGACCGCAAGACACTGATTACGAAGCATGCCGACCTCACCAGAGACCTCGAGAAGCTCAGGACTGAGCTAGCCGCGTACAGCGAGCAAGACCCCGTCGAGATGGAGAAGAAAGCCGCCGAAACTCAGCAGGCTCATCTTGACGCTGAGAAGTTTACCGACCAGATTTACGCCATGCAGGGCTGGCTTAAGCAGACTATGTATGGTGGCAGTGGAGGGCACGAATATCTGGAGATACTGAGGTCCTTCTATCAGGATGAGTTTGATGAGGAGGAACTGGGCTTACGTGAATTGTGAAACTCGGGAAGTCTGTGAAGTGCATTTTCGGAGTAGCCATGGAGGAGGCTACAACGTGTCTGTGCAGGTATAGCGGCAAGGCATAATTACGGTCATACAGACAATCTATTGTACAATCATTTCGACTCATTCGAGCGACTGCTGCGCCATGTTCGGTCTGAGAGTGCTTGAGTCATGTTTGAGCATGGGCCATCTCCAGGGCTAACAGCTTTCGCTTGTGAAGGGCGTCATCGCAAGTAGCTTTCGCCAAACTACCAACAAAGGTCTACCGTACAAAGAGGCCTCGCCCGCCTGCCTCTGCCTGACCATTCATTTTCGCACAACTGTCTGGAATCATCCATACCGACAATCCTCTATACTGACCCCCTAGACCCGCAACAATACCCCGCGATGGCCTCGACAGGCGCCCCGGAAACCCCGCAAGTTCCTGCAAGCCCGCAACGGAGAGGGGGAAGAGGGCGTGGGCGCGGCAGAGGTGCACACGGTGGAGAAGATGGCCATGAGAACTTCGGAGGGCGAGGCCGTGGTCGGGGCGGCTTCCAGAGCCGCGGGCGAGGTCGCGGCAACAGAGACGGCGCGGGCACTCGCGGTGGACACGCGCCGGAGAAGGGCAAGGCGCCTGCCATAGACACAGAAGAGAGCGGACACGCTCCACCGACTCTCGTCAAGCCTAACCTCCAGCAATCGGACAACGAAGACGACGATGCCGAAGTCTGCTTCATTTGCGCCTCGCCCGTTCAACACACAGCCGTCGCTCCTTGCAATCACCGCACATGTCACATCTGCTCCATCCGAATGCGGGCCTTGTATAAAACAAAGGCCTGTGCACATTGTCGAACCGAGTCAGACCACGTTATCCTCACAGACGACGCCGAGAAGAACTACGAGGACTTCTCCACCGCTGAATTTTTCAAATCCGATGATACACTGGGCATACACTTTGAGAACTCTGGCGTGTTTGAAGACGCGCGATTGCTGTTACAGTACAACTGCCCCGACGGCGAGTGCGATGTAGCCTGTCTAGGTTGGCCGGACCTGCATCGTCATGTCAAGACGGCGCATGGAAAAGTCATGTGGTGTGTACTCTGCAGTTCTGAACAAACGATACTGGCTAACATTATAAAGTGACCTCTGTACGCGGAACAAAAAGGTCTTTACCCACGAGCACGTCCTATTCACGATGGCCGAGCTACGACGGCACCAGAAGTTTGGCGACGATAATCCTGGAGCAATAGATCAGAGCGGATTCAAAGGGCACCCGGAGTGCGGTTTCTGCAACCAGCGTTTCTACGGCGACGACGAACTATACACCCATTGCAGAGACAAGCACGAGCGCTGCCACATTTGCGACCGCCGGGAGGGAGGAAGCAGGAAACAACAATACTACGTCAACTATGATTCGCTCGAGGTGCATTTTCGGAAAGATCATTTCCTCTGCCCAGACCGAGAGTGTCTAGAGAAGAAGTTCGTCGTGTTCGATTCTGAGATGGATCTCAAGGCGCACCAGTTGGAGGTGCATCCCAACGGTCTTTCCAAGGACGCTTTACGGGATGCCCGGAGAGTCGACATGTCTGGCTTCCAAATAAGGGCGCCTCACGAGCAAGGTCAGGGTAACAACAGGCGAGACGAGCGCAGACGCGAGGGCGGCAGAGGCCGTGGACGCGGACGGGATCCGAACGCTGAGCCAGTGCCTGCGTCGTCTGCGCAACCCTTGAGCAGAGCGGAGCTTGCTTACCAGCGGCAGAGGGAGGCTCAGAACACTCATTCGGTAACTGGAAGAACTTTTGGGGGCCAGCTCTCTGCACCAACTCCAGGCGAGGCGTTCGCTGCTAGACCGCCTCCAAGCGCCTCAGAGCCTCCTACCGTTACTGCGTCACGCCCAACCCCAGCGGCTGCCAACAATATCACAAATGGCGTCGCTCAACTAAGCATGGACACACAACCACCCAACCCAGTTCCACAGACGCCCCAGGACCAGGCTAGACTGTTGCGTCACAACGCAGTTACGGAACGGGCCACAAACATGCTTCGGGGTAGCGAGATCAAGCTGCAAGAGTTCAGAGCCGCGGTATCGGCCTATCGCAACTCCAAGGTATCCGCGCCACAGCTCATCGACGGGTTCTTTGCGCTATTCGACGCCAACTCGAAGGAGATGGGGAAGCTGATCAAAGAATTGGCGGACATCTTTGAGATGCCAGGGAAGCGTGAAGCTCTATTGAAGGCTTGGAATGATTGGAAGGCTATCAACGAGGACTATCCATCATTACCTGGCTCTGCGACAGGCTTGAACGGGGGATCGACTGCGCGAGGAGGTTCGCGGGTACTGAAGCTGAAGAGCTCAACAGCGCAATCATCTCGATCCACAGCCAACCAGCAAGCCAGTTGGTCGAACGCATCGTCGAGCAACCCATTCCCAGCTTTGCCAGCACCTTCGGGTCGTGTCGGTGCGAAGCCCGGACAAACGCCTTGGGCCTCATCTGCCGCAACGAGCGCGCGCCCCTCGCCCATGCCATCACGAGTCGCATCATCAACAAACGTGAACAAGAAGCCTGCTGCCGCAGACGCCTTCCCAGCTCTCCCCGCAGCAGCGAAACCCACCAGCACAATCTTCAGTCCTGGCTACACTGGCCATGGTCTACGACGCGACAACAGCGGACGCAACACTCCAGTGAGTAACCCTTGGGCTGGCCCGTCCGGCACGAATAGCGGTACGTCAACACCGGCTTTGGAGGATGCAGGAGCGGCAGGGAAGAAGAAGGGCAACAAGGGCAAAAAGCAGACACTCTTCCAGTGGGGTTAGCGGGTAGAATGTAGAGCACCCGATCTAAGCAAATAATCCAGAAGTCTACATTGCCTTGGTGTTTCGTCATTATTCGTTGTTGAAGTGATGTAGACTTCAATGCACCTGTAAACTTTCTTCCTTGCATAAGGTGGGTTCATTGATAACATAGCCTGAAGGTATCAATGTGTTGTAGGCTGTGTATCGTCAACCGAGAACACCGTGTATACCATCAGGGTGCACTATACATCACTTCATCTGACAGAACATTCACATCAGCAGTAGTAACGAGAACATGCAAACTAGTGATTTGTCCATTTGCGATACCTACAGAAAACCGCTCACAACGTATTGATAGAAGCCTCCGACGACGCCTAAATCCCAAAACGCCAACCCAGAACATGCATCCATCATCCGTAACCTGCCAACGACGATGCCGTCAACCCGTATGCCTCTCACCAGCTCTCACGCATCCTCATCAAACTCAGCCTGGTTAGGCACCTTGGGGCCATCTTTGCGAATGGGGATCTTGATACCCTGCTGCGCAAAGCACTTGCTGAGCTTGGTGCTTTCAATGACACCGGGGAACTTCTTGGCGGAGTAGACAGTGAAGGGCTCGGTGAAGTTGGAGACAAGGCATGGGCCTTTACCTTTGCTGCCGTCGTTCATGTGAATGGTGCCGTTGGTGCCGTCGTTGGAGCCAATGTCGAAAAGGCTGAGCTTCAGCCGGAATGTGCCCTCGGTGCGCACGCTCAGATCCTGTAGGACGAACCAAAAGCCGGGTTTTTGGTCGAGATCTTGGAGGCGGCATGCATTGACAGCGTTCATGCCAATGAGATTGCGGGTGTGATTCGAGCCCATGGGTGTTGCGGGAATCATTGTGTTTGTCATCTGCACGGGGGGCTGCCCGTACATGTTTTGCGGCATGGGGTAGCCCGGTGGTTGGGCCTGCCAGTATCCCTGGGGCCCTGGAACGGGGTTTCCGCCGTATTGGACCATGTGCTGCTGCGGCATGCCCCCGCGGGAGTCGTACTGAACTTGGGCTGTGAACATGTGGTGTGTTCGCTCGGGCGGCGGAGGGTAAGAGGTGGTAGTACTACTTGATATCGACACGGTCGGCGCCGCGCTACTGTGTCTCACCAGGTTGACGGCATTGACTCCCTGCGCGTCGTAGAGGTCGACCATGAGCACGAAGTATGTGCTGTCGATGTCGTTGAAGGGGACCTCTTGTCCCGTGTGGGTGTCGTAGACGACCAAGCGGACGCAGGGCGGGGGTGTGATCGGCCTTCGATCCTTGTCACCAAAGCCGCACATGCGGGCTCGGATCGGTTGTTGTTCAACAACCAAGTCATATTTCCTGGTGGGCTTCGCCATGGTCTGCTGTTGCTGAATCGGCTCTGGGCGGCCAGTGCTAGTCCTGGTGTAATTATTGTAAGACATTTTGGCGTTGTGATGTTGGTGTCTTGGTGTTGATTGGATGTGGGTGAGAGATGTTATGGGTAAGATTAACGGACGGGCGTGCACAAGCTATATACTCTCCCAAGATTTAGGCGATGCGGAAGTGCGCCACGGGCCAACGCTACCTACAGACTCACCACTACAACCATGGTTCAGTATCGAGACATTACCCTTGCAAACGGTCATCAAATCACATTCACTGATGATAACTCAATGCGAAAAAGCCTCATGGAGTCATCGGGTAGGATTGAAACGGGAATATTCCTATAGGGCCACGCAGGTGAGGGGGACCACAGCTGCGGGTCTCAGCCATGATCGGCGTTAGTCTCCGGCGCTACCTCACCCATGGGACGACCTCATAGACGAAAACGTCTGCGGACTACATCAAGACAAAACCCGCAAAGTGGGCGACTAACGTCAACGTAGGCTCCAGGCTGTTCAGTTTTTCTTAGGTTATGCGGACTACATCAAGACAAGAACGCGCAAAGTGGATGACTAACGTCGACGTCAGGTTAACAGGGGACGCGCACTTGTATAGGTAGCGCATAATCTGTATGTTTGCAGACTACATCAAGACAGAAACCTGCAAAGTAAGTGACTAACGGTAACGTAGGCTCCAGGGTATCTTTTCTTATTAGGTTGCCCAGGTGACGTGGGACGCGCACTTGCGTAGGTAGCGCATGATCTAAATGTTTGCAACACCCGATTTGTGATTCGATCAGTCTCTTGTCCATTTGCAATAGTATCCATACCACGTATCTACACTCTGCCATTTTCCAATCACATGTTACACTCAAACCCCCTCTGAGTCAACCAGGTGTGTGCGTCCACTTCACCTAATATTGGCCGCGCTGTTCGCTCGACTCTACATCCGACCACGCTCAGTCACCTGGGCACGGTACGAAACAGGCTGAGAAACTTTGTGTTGGACTGTTGCCTTGCCATCTTTCGCACTTGAAGTTGAAGCATCTCATTCAACGCACAAACTGGGCACGTGCCCTGAAGGCTACGTGGGTGCCCTGGAGGCTACGTGGGTGTTCAACGCACCAACTGCAAAATCTTCCCGCAATGTAGACTTCTACGTGATTTCAATTGATCATCTTCTGTAGGTGGGTATAGAACCCGCATCCTGACGATCCGCTGGAGTTGGTGCCGCCTGGCTTTGTTTTGCATTCATGCTCATACCTAGGTACACCCGTCGTCGCGGTAGGTAGTGTGCAGCAACAAATTGAACCAAGGCGTGAAGCTAAGAAGTACCATCTCAATGACCAGCTCGCAACCAAGGTCAGGTCCTAGTCTGAGTCAAAGGCGCATTCTTTTGTTATTAACAACGTTCTCTAGTGTACTGGTAATGCAATCTTGTCTTTCTGAGACTAACTTCTAAGGTCTTTAACTATTCGAGTGCTGCATCTCATGCTTTGGTGTTTTGCATAACGAAAGAAAACACGTGAAGTCAAAGTCTGTCGGTATAAAGTCAAGCATACCTAGGTACTGAAACCGGTTACCACGAGGTGTGTAGCCATCACATTACGCCTGTATTGAGATTTTGTAAACAGCGTTCCTATTCGGTGTTGTGCCCGCATACATCGACATCATTATGTTTGTCAAATTAATACCCTATCTCACTTAGATCAAGGAATGCCTGAAGAATATTACTGCATAGAACTATAGTAGAAAAGCCAAGTAGGAAGAGTATCTTTGCAAATCCTATCTTCATGGACTCCCCATAGTCGCTGCGTAATACCTTGTTCGTGACAAGCACAATGTTCAACTGTACGGCGATGCCATTCTAACGACAGCCAGCGCCGACTTCGAAGCCTTTTGGAACCTTAACATATGATACTATCGCACAACCTGGGACCTTGAACGCCCGTGTCGAGAACATCAGAAGGTGTATTTTGCAGCATGTGCATCTAGATGGCCTAAGATATTCGGCTCTCGTAGGGTTCTCTAGCAGACAAGATCCATGGTACAAAGTGGAAGATGTAATATTTGAAAAGGGAAAGCAGGTAGCATTCAGGCACGGGAGAGACCTCACTCACGCGAGACTTTCAACTTACGAGGAAGGTGCTTCGTCTTAGGTTGTTGCCATCATTTGTTGTGAACGAGAAACTGCGTAACTGTCAAGGTAATTAGAACATGCTATTTCTTGTTTGTGTATACGGTGGAGATTCTATCTACTAGATACTATATACTAAAGAGCACCTATGAATTATGCTAGATCTACGTAGTGTGTCTTCCAAGCACGAGGCTTGAAACTCAAGCTCAGTCCTGGATAGAGCGTGTACACACAGATTTTGATGACCCCACATAAAAATCCCGTTCCAATTGCCATCGTCTCCAGACTCTGATAATAGGCATCGTGGAGATCTGCTTCCAGTGCCTCGCCTTGGGTCCAGCTACTGTATGCAGACGTTTCCTTCGGTAATACCGTTATGCAGGTGCCATTGAGCGGAGCTTGCAGTATTGTCACCCGCAACTATGTTGGAGGCAGTTTTCCGACGTCCGGGAATGATACGAACAGGCTGCGATACACAGCATGAAGGTTGCTGAGTGAGACGTCGAGATGTACCGGATCTGTTGAGAGATCGTCGTACTGAGGACAGAGGATCCATAAGGATAGTCTCGTGTTGTGAACACTGCAAGTCATCCACTTCGATATCGATGAAACGGCGGAGATCTTGTCGTGTTGTCCTACCCATATCTGGGCATACGGCATAACGGCGCGAAGTTCACTTGGTCCGGGATGAAACGGGCAGAGAACTGTTCGTACGCAAGCCGAGATCCGCATGTCAACCCGTCAGGTATAGACTGCCACTTCACCCAATGTTATGCTTGTCCATCTCTTCATCGATCCAGCTCCCCCGCTTGACTCTAACCCGCCTCCTCCACTTATCCTGATCTTCTTGCTGCCCTCGCGTCTCCCACCCAGTCTCGCCATTCGCCGGTTCCGCATGCGTAACGTTCGGGCTGATGCGTCGGGGATCTACAAAGTCGGGGTATTGCGATCCGCCAAAATCGTGCGTGAGCAGGCTGCCGTTGAGTCTCGCTGATGCGCCCACACTCGCTGTACCACTTTGTGTCTTTTCCAGTGTCAGGGTATTCCGGCGTTCGAAGCTGTTACCGCGTGCGTAGGCGTTGTTCATGCTCTGATCGGATTCGGCTCGGACGCGCACGAGTTGGATGAGTTTGCCTAGGACGGCGAATTCGAGCTTGAGTTTGATGGAGTATACGACGCCTTTCAGGGTGGTTTCGATGAGGTACAGATTGGCGAATTCGACGCTGAGCAGGGCGATGTCCATGGCAATGATTAGTACGTTGATGGTGAGGAGCTGGTACATTGTCTTTCGAACGTTTGTGTTCTTGAGGTGCCCGTGGGATTGGTTTCCAGCGCTGTCGTCGAAACTGCGTACGTCGTCTTGTACCGTTTCCGAGAGTTTCAGTAGTCGTACCGTCTCCTTGATGTATACTATGGACAGGATGGTTTCTTGCACAAAGAAGCACACCATCTGCACTTTCTCCATTATCGAGTATCCGCGGACGAAGCGACGCAGCGTAGCATCGGAAAGCGAGTTCGAATTGGAACCGAAGGTCAGGACGGTCGTAACTGAGTGGAGCAGTACGCCATTGACGATAATCATGTAGAGAGTCCAGCGAAGGACTCGGCGCGAGTTCGTAACGAGATGGAGACGCGACCATAGAACGACTGATTGCCCTAGACGTTGTTAGTAGCCGCATGCTGGGGACCTCCAGCGTTGACTGAACTCACCAGTGATCATGGGATACCAGCCAAGCGTGAGTAAGACGACGCCGACATATCCAGCATTTGCCGCAGGGTCCAACAAGCGGAAGAACTTGATGATGAAGCCCAGCGAGTATGGTATGATGCCGAATGCGCTGATGACGAGCGACCAGAAGTACAAGCCATGGTAGCGCTGGAAAGTGACGAAAGCGAGAACAATGAGTTCGATAGCGTTGTAGAGCGAAAGACCGAGCAGAAACGCGATGATGATCTTAAGGGGAAGAGAATCGCCGGTGTAGCCTACAAAGGCATCAGTACAGGACAATCGCGTTGCTCAGACACAGCTAGAAACTTACCTCCAGTGATTCCAGCGCCGGCGGACTCGAGTGTCCCCAGCGCCGGTGTCGACTCCGCCGCGAAAACAGACGATGTGACGCTAGAAGCAAGGTTGACAGAGAGCGACGCCATTCCGAGCCTTCCGTCTCAAACTGGTCAAAACGCAGCTCCTCCGTGCAACAACGAACCAGGCACAAAGAGGCAGAATTGCGACGCCATCAGTTCGAAGAGGAGACGGGTACCGTAACGCACAGCAGGGCGACAGAAATGACAGGAGAAACGGGCCGGTAGGAAGCGACATCGAGTAAGGGCTTATTTCTATCGAGGCGGGGATTTTCCGTGGACGAGCGTCAACGGTGCGCGTGCACTAATTGACCACGCGCGGCTTGCATTGCAAATCAACAGGACAGGGCGTCCGAGTGACGCTGCCTTTCTCCACTTGCTAACGGGTTGCAGCTTAGGAGTGCAGGCAGTCCGGGGTAGATCGGCACTACCGAGTCGCGCATTAGGCCATCTGCCATGGCAGTTGGCAGTTTGCCCATGTCTCGGAAAATTATGACGACTGTGCTTTATTGCTTCCTATTGCGGCTTGCACCGTGCTTCTCTGTGGTAAGAACGGAGAGCTATGTAATCGACTACTTCCCTATCTTCATCCTCATGGATGCTGGTCCTACAATTCATTAAGTGATGTTTTTGCCCATGCTCTTCTTGCCCTTTTGCTGCGCCGACTCATGTTTCTTCAAGTCTTCAGGTACCTTACTTATCTCACTCTTCATGAGAATCTGCTTAAGATCGTATAGCACATCCGCATCTTCGTTACCCCAGAAAGTGATTGCAACACCGGGCTTGTCAGAGTCCGCTCCCAAACGACCAGTACGACCGATACGATGCGTGTATGTTTCGATGCTAGGTGGCATGTTGAAGTTGACAACCAGGGAAACATCTGGAATGTCAATACCACGACCGAGCACGTCTGTGGCGACGAGCACCTGGATCTGCCCATTCTTGAGGGATGCAAGAGCAGCCTCACGCTGATCCTGGGTCTTTCCACCGTGGATTGTAGCTGATGCGAAGCCCATATGTTTGATGTCGCGAGCGATCGCATCGCAATTCTTTTTGATGTTGACAAAGACGATGATCGGTGGGGCGAATTCGCGCGTATTCAAGATTTCTTGGAGACGCCTCTTCCGCTTCTCCTCTCCCTGGACGAACTCGACACGCTGCTCGACAGTGTCGGAAGCCTCGCCCTGGTTACCGATTGTAACGATGGCAGGACGACGTGTATACTTTTTCGCGATTCTCTCTACAGCTGGCGGCATAGTAGCTGTGTACATCATGGTTTGACGGTACATTCCTGCTTTCATGGCAGTGGGGTCTTCAGCAATTTCGCTATCAGGCTTCTCGTTGTTGACAGGTAGAGCGTCGAGAATCTTATTAACGGGCTCTTCGAAACCCATGTCAATCATCCTGTCAGCTTCGTCCATGATGACATAAGTGCATTGGCTAAGAACAAGGACTCGACGCTCAATGCAGTCAACCAGACGACCGGGCGTGGCAATGATAATCTCGGCTCCGTCACGCATCTGGAACGACTGTTCCTCGATGGAGTGACCACCGATGAGGACAGCCGTCTTGAAACCTAGTGGTAATGCGAACTTGCGAGTCTCCACTTCGATCTGCTGAGCAAGTTCGCGAGTTGGTGCGAGGACGAGGGCATACGGGCCATCGTGTCGGTTGAACGCGTCGAGAGGAGGTAGTTGTGAGATGTAGGCAAGCAGTGGCAGGACGAAGGAGGCGGTTTTACCCGAACCCGTTGCAGCGACTCCGATTAGGTCGCGACACTGCAGAGCAATAGGTATAGCCGCACGTTGGATAGGTGAGGGCTCAAAGTAGCCGACCTCGTCCACGATGCGCAAGAGCTTCTCCGGAAGCCCGGACTCACCCCAGTTGCGCATAGGGTTCGGTATTGCGCCTCCTTTGGTAGCAATGCTGAAGTCTTCCTTGAAGATGCGCCAATCGCGCTCTCGCATGTTCTCCAGCTTCTTCTTGCTCCAGTGCATGTCCAACTGTGCGCGACCGCCCCTGTCTTTCCGCCGTCGCTCCATTTCAAGTAGCTGCTCAGCTCGTTCTCTGCCATGTTCCGGGTCTCGCTCGATAATCGCATCGATCATCTTCTTTGTCGCTGCGCTGGTGACTTCCTCAGAGAAGCCACCTAGTCGGCCGCGCCCAAAGAAGCTTGCTTCAGCTTTCTGCTGGTAGATGGGATTGTAATCGTGGCTCGTGTCCTCCTCCTCGTTCCACTCGAAGTTGAATTTCTTTTCCGTCGTCCTCTTGCGCTTCTTCTTGGCCGAGAACGTCGACTGATTTTGTTCCGCGCCCATGTATCTTTGCCTTATCAATGCCGCCTCGGTGTCGTCAGCAGGGCGCTTGTTGCCCTTCTTGTCCGGCGGTGGAGGAGGCGCCATGTCTCCATTTCTGCGATCGTTTCGCATGGACGATGATCCAGTCGGCGCATCGCGCATCGAGCGCGGCCCCGTGGGTACGAATGAGGACGAGCCGTTGTGGCTGTTGTGGCCATTTGTGCGGTTGTTGTCTTGCGAATGTCTCCATGCGTCGCTGTCTCCGTTGGAAGCCTCTCGCCTTTTTTGCGCCTCTTCAACTTCTTTCTGTCGCTTCTCAAGCGCGATGCGCTCTCTCTCGGCCTTCGGTATGAACTTGGGCTTTGCGGCAGCCGCTTCTTTCTCGCGCTTGGCCTTGAGGATGTCGTCGATACTCGGTGGCTGCTTGCGAGCAGCTGGGGGCGGAACGGCCGCAGTCATCTTCGTTTCGCGGGGGTCACGGTTCGTGGACTTGCGGAGGAGGATTCGCGCGAACTATAAGGTGCATGTACGCTAAGGCAACACCAGATCACGTGCGTGGCTGCTATCGATAGTACCCTGACCCCACTGCATGATGTGGTTCCTTAGATGATACCTGGGAACCACCTTGGAACAGTGTCACACACTAGGTAGATCTTGATACGCAAGGGTAGAGCCAGTCCAACCGGTAGTCCGATGTTGGGTACTGTTACCCTCGGGCTTCCAAGCCCGAGGAAGGAGCTGTACCATGGATGATTGTATGTGGACTTGGTGATACTTTGATTCAGAGGCCAAGTCTAGCCGTCTACTGTTCAGATTGGCGTATTTGGGGTGCTTCCGCGTACGTGTCATAAGATAGTTTGGTAGTTCCCATTATCCTGTCACAGCCTGGAGGCAGACCCCCGGCAGCGCCTGTAGCATTCCTCATAGCTCATAAACATGATTATATGCCACCACGTGCCATACAACACCTCAATCCTGCCTGCCCTTGAGTAACCGCTTTGTGACCTTGTCCTTCTCAATGATGTATACGTGTGCGCCCCAGCCTGAAAGCGCGTCTCGGTCGACAGCGTTGAGCAGCGCCTGTGAGATTGTCTCGAAGAGGTCCTCGGGGCCCTATCATGATGTTAGCCTAGCCCAATACCACGTATTGATACAACCCACTAGATCAGGCTCCCACAGTCCCTCACATGTACCGAACAGCTGATCGCTGGCTGTTCCGCTAACAATGAAGTCCTTCGCAAAGTCGATGCATCCAATACTGTCGAAGCCGCAGATGAAGGGCTTCCCGCTTGTCTGGTTGATACCGGCGATTACGGGGCTGATAAAGTACGGTCCGAAGCGCTTCTCGTACAGACTTGAGCTGACGAGGTTCGCCATGGTCTGGGGGCTGATGTTGCGCTCTTCGCGGAGGCGGTACATGTTGACCTTGTAGCGGAACAGGTCTGATACGGTGGATACGTCGGTGGCGAGGCCGGTCAGACCTAGAAAAACGTCGCCGTACTGGAAGATCTTGGGGAAGTTGTTGGACACGGTGAGGGCTTGCATGCCGAGACGCAGGTCGCATGCGATGGCTACGCAGTCCTTGCCCACCATGGCCACGCAGGCGCCACCGTCTATTCAAGTTATTAGAAGAGCATGCGGGGTGGTCTCGGTGGAGGCGTACTTATTGAGAATGGTGACGACTGTTGCGATTAGCTATGGACTACAAGTTGACTGCGGGCAGCTTACCATGGCTGTGTATGTGATGCGGAATGACCCTCGATTGGCAACTACAGTAACAGAGGAGGACGTAGAGCTCTCCGGTGTATGTGGGAAACGGTGGTGTTGTGGGTGCTTGTGATGTACTCACCTGGGCAGGCAGCTCACAGTGTTACGCGGAGGCGCGAGCTCCCCGGGCCGCCCTGGACACTCGTACCTAGCTCGAAACCGCCTTCTTGGCACCGAACTTTTGAGATGCACCAACAGACACGCCCGCACCGATCGCAACCCACGAGATACCCACCATGAGCGCCCAAACGTCTGTCGAAATCGCAAAGTCGCTGCCCCCGCGCTTACTGCGCTTCTTCCAAAAGTACCCGCCACCATCGCTCTTTCCCAGTCTCTCATCTCAACTCGCATCACCGACTTCACACGCAACCCCAAGCACAATATCGACAACCCCACCAACCAACCCCAATGCCTCCGTGACCGAGACATCCGCGCCAGAGGCCATCGCGAGACCCGCAAATGCGCCCTCAAATTCGAACATACCACCAGAAGCACACGACCTGCCCTACCCAAATCCATTCCTCCCACACAAGAACTTCGCAACCGGACGGTGGCACTCCCCCGCGTATGGTCTACGGAAACAAGCCGATCTTGTTAAGCTTGCCTCGGAGCATGGTGTCGTCGACCTACTGCCATGGACTGTGAAGAAGCCTGGCGAGAAGGAAAGGCGGCGGGTAGAAAGAGGATTGCAAGTCAAGGGCACGGGCGAGGGACAGAAGGTCAAGGGAAAGCTTTGGGAGCGAACACTGAAGGGACGCTTGGAGATGAGGAGACAGGCCATGTTAAACATGCCAGCTTTGATCCAGGAATGGAAGCAGAAGGGACACGGAAGAGGTTGGAAGAAGTGGCCCAGTGGAAAGGCGAAGAAATAGAGTATCCCGCTCAAATGTACGATATCATGGACACTGTTCTCATCTTCCATGTAACGAGGTTTAAACATGGCTCGATTGGTGTATCAAAAAGTAGTGATGTCTGGGTATCCTACTGACTGAACTATCTCATCCTTGACAGACCTCCCACGTTACTGTTCGTGTGTACAACTAGTTCTGGGTATAATATAGGAAATTCGATATGCACATATGCATGCACACGCTTAACAATCCATCCTGAGCTATCCTCGAGGCCCGGCATAACGAGAGGACGCTTCACATGACCATCTCCTCGTCGCCATAACCACCCTGCAGCCCATACTCTCGTGCATATGCGTATGCTCCGTAAGTGTTCTCCATGTCAGCTACACTGCCCACATTCTTCTGCCAAAGGCCGTTGCTGCCAGTGTTGTTGTAGACTGGATCGGTGGCCTGGTTGTACTTGGTCGACTCCTTCAACGCATTCTCGCCTCTGCATGACTCTTCGTATTCGCGTCTAGCCATCATCTCGTAGCCTGATGCCATGTATGGTTCAGCGCTTGCTGCCGCCATGCTCTGATCCAACTGCTGCTGGTGCTGCTGAATAGCCTCTTGCTGGGCGGACTCCGCCTGTTGTCTCTCATATCTCAGCTTGGCCATGGCTTCCTCCTGTGCGAGACTGGTAGGTGGCCAATCGTAGAGCTGTCGGGACATGTTGTAATCCACGCCTGCTGGATGTCCTTGACGACCTGATGGAGGAGATATACGCCAGAGCTCGAGGAGACGTAGCCGCTGATCGTCGTCTGCATTCTGGAAGAGATCGATCTGGGAAGGGAACAGAAGAGAAGGATCAATACTGTTCCTCAAAAGTACGGCAGCGAGGTCCGAAGATTCGATGTGTGTCTTCAAGGCTGGCTCGGAGGTACTGCGGGTAGGTACATGATATGAATGAGTGTAGTGTTGAGAAGCGTAGACGATCTGCTTGGGAGCCTCTTCCTGCTGTTGCTGTTGTTGCGCTGGTTGTTCCTGTTGCATCTGTGGTTGCATGGGCTGTGGGTTGCCTTGAGACAAGTTCATGTTGGCTGAGAACAGCCGAGTAAGTTCATCTTGTTGCATGTTTGCGTCTTCTGCTGCTTTCCCCTGAACGTTGATGCCCGTAGATATTGTGCCGCACTATGACGTAACGTTAGTGTTTACCAGCGCCGAAGACAAACGAGCTTACGTTTGCGCAAGAAATGTTCTGAGAAAAGGCGTAAGGACTGAATGAGATGGGTGTGTCGTGAGTGCAGTCGCAGTGGTGCAGGAGCATGGGCTGCATGTCCTCTAGGGTCTCAACAGCAAGCGGATGAGGGGCAAGTTCTGGAAAACGGAGGTTCAAGTATTGTATTAGGCGGGGAGTCGACAAAGGCGTATATAGTGATGGACTATATCATTGAAAGACCTTGTAGACTCGAGCTCAGAATTCGCCGTTGGCTAGTATATGGAAACTTGGAATCGTACTTGTCCGCGCTTGCGTTGGGCGCTGACGACAATCGGCGGGGGACGACAAAGGGTGCCTTTGTGAGTCAAGAACAAACGGAAAGGTATTCAAATATACTTTGACCAAGTCAGCAGTGAAGAGGGGGCAAGAAGAAAATTAGCAGCAGCGTGATGGTGGTTCTTTATGTACCGTTGAGTATAGCGTGCTGTCGGGGTCATGCGTGTAGGCGGGATGATTCTGATAATTTTGTCGCCCACATCCAATTAGTGACGAAGCTGAAACCCAACCTGTCCGGCTAGTCTGCTGGTAGCCAATGATGTGTCTTGAGAGCTTGCAAATAGTGGTCGATTTGGGACGACAACTCATCAAATGTGTATGGGCGTATGCACTTTTGGATGTGAGGTGCGGGCAATTGGAGGCCCAGACGGAAGAAGCCGGGACAGCAGGCAGCGAACACACCAGTAGCGCCAGCAACGAGGAGGCGGATCGCACCAACAGTTCCAGACGAAGCAAGGAGGACCGAGAGTTGCAATGCTCGCGAGTTGCTGCTCACGTACGCAGGTTGATGCCTCTAGGTGTCGGCCTTGGCACGCACGCGCGCTAGTGAGCTACCTGGAGCTTGCGCAGATACACCATTGCCTAGATTCATCAACACCGAGACACACGACTGCCAACCTTTGACAATCCCGTAATTGCTTCCCTAGAATCTGCGGTCCATTTGATCGCCCGGAACACACAAAGCGCCCTTCTCAGTCTCCACACCGCCCACCATGGTAAAGACCCCACCGTAACAGCTGAAGCACCCCAGTCGATCTAACTATGGCGTAGACGTCAATAGGTACAGGTTACGACCTGTCCAACTCGGTCTTCTCGCCCGATGGTCGAAACTTCCAGGTCGAATACGCGGTCAAGGCAGTAGAAAACGGTGGCACAGCGGTTGGCATCAAGTGCAAGGATGGCGTCGTACTCGCTCTGGAGAAGCTCGTCAGCAGCAAGTTGCTCAAGCCCGGCGCGAACAAGCGGATAGCAACTGTGGACCGCAACATGGGCATTGTGTCTTCCGGTCTCCTCCCCGATGGTCGCCACTTCGTCTCCCGCGCCCGCGACGAGGCAGCCCAATGGCGGCAGCTTTACAAGGCACCCATCCCCTCATCGTCTCTCGCCGACCGCATGGGAAGCTATGCCCAAGCGTATACCCTCTACTCGAGTGTCCGTCCTTTCGGTATAACCGCCATCCTTGCAGGCTGGGACTCCGAGGCCGAGCTACCGGTAGATGGCCAAGTTGGTTCAGGGCCTACTGTTGGCTCGGGAGGCAAGAAAGAAGGCGCAAAGCATGGTGGGCCATCGCTCTACATGATTGAGCCCAGCGGTCTATACTGGGTATGGAGACCTCTGTAACCTAAACATGTCCAACAACTAACGTGTGCAGGGCTACTACGGTGCCGCTACAGGCAAGGGCCGCCAGGTCGCCAAGTCAGAGCTCGAGAAACTCAACCTCTCCGAGGGAAATCTATCACTAGAGGAGGGTGTCAAGGAGGCAGCACGCATCATCTACGTCGCACACGATGACAACAAGGACAAGGAGTTTGAGCTTGAGATGACATGGATTAGCAGTCTCGACGGTCCTACTAAGGGCAGGCACGAGGAAGTGCCCAAGGACATCCGAGAAGAGGCTGAGAAGCTGGCAAAGAAGGCGCTGGAGGGAGACGACGATGATGACGAGGAGGAAGAGAAAATGGAAGAGTAGACGACGACTGCATGACACCGCGTAGACGGTCTACATGCATAACGAGCGGCTCTCACTGCCTTTCACGATCAATGAACAACATTTACGAAAGTCAAGCACTAGCACTATCATCTTCTTGTTCGGCCCGCTTCTCAAGCTTGCTTCGTCGCTCCTGCCAATTCTGGATTGACAGTTGACTGCGTCATCGACGATGCCAGATTCGCCATGCAGGTACATCCGCCCCACTAGCGCGTCACCCTGCAATCCGATTTTGAAAACCATTCAACAATTCCATCCAAAGTATCTTACGTCACGCGTCTATCCCACCATCCAAATACACTCTTCTTATCCAATTGTAATATATTATCATGCCGCCAACTCTCATACTCATTCGCCACGCTCAGGCACAACACAATGCCACCAGCGACTGGTCTATCAGGGACCCTCCACTTACTGAGCTGGGCGAGCAGCAATGTCGCGAGCTACATGAGAGTCTGAAAGAGAGCAAGATCGGCAATGAAGTTGAGCTCATCGTTGTCAGCGCTCAAAGGCGGACGCTCCAGACTGCCACTATCGGGCTGGACTGGCTTATCAAGAAAGGCACCAAGGGTAAGAGCAATGTCACTGAGCAAGACACATTATGTATATGTGACTAATACTGATATGCACTGCAGTAATCCCCGACGCGAACTGGCAAGAAAACGCAGACAAGCCGTGTGACACTGGAACACCCATCGATGAGATCTCCAAGGAATTCCCTCAGTACGACTTCTCCGTCGTAGACCCTTCGTTCCCAGACAAGACCACCGGTGGATCCAAGAACCCATATGCTTTCACCGAAAAGGCTATCCTAGCTCGTGGACAGAGATGCCTCAAGGACCTCTACTCCCGCCCCGAGAAAGTCATTGCTGTTGTCTCGCATTCGGGTTTCCTGCGCACAGGTGTATGCAACCGCATGTTCTTCAATGCCGACTGGCGTGTGTTTGAATTCGACGACGAGGAGATGAAGAAGAACCCGGGGTTCTTTGTGTTGAAGGAGAGCGAGGAGACGGAGAAGAAGGGTGGCGGTATGGGTCGTAGTGACGTTGGTGTCTTTGGTATCGTACCTGGTGACTTCCCGCCTGAGGTTGAAGAGGAGATTGCTGCGAATAAGGCGCAAGTTGATGATGAGGCTACTAAGCAGAACCCGAGTGCTTGAGCTGGGTGATTTGTAGTTAGATCTGAGAGTCACGTTTTGCCGGACTACATGGCAGTGGAAATTTGCGATCACTTAGAGGATGGACATTGCGTAGACCATAGAATTTAGTGAATGTCAATGAAGACCATCAATCTATATCCAGTAATATGGTCTGAGCATATTTGATGCCTTCACATGCATGAGCATGATGCTCTTATGCAATACCAAGTGGCGCATAGAGTGCCCTCATCGGGTCCCTCGGAATATCTGTTCAGTACCCCAAACTTTTCTTCGACCGACGTTCTCAACACCCAGCACGGCCATGTTTTCGGGAATCTTATGGACCCGCCCAAGAGGATGTGAGATAGGGTTGATATTGTGCATGCCTCCCCTCATACGCTTCTCTGAACCCAGACAGAGCCGCTTCTTCTGTCGACCCTGTGATCGCCAGACTGATAGCCTGGCCAAAGAGCAGATACAACTCCCTTTTTGCCCGGTCCAGTCCTTGGAGACCAGCATACGACGCATAATTGGCGTAAAGATGCCGAAACTTGACCTTGACGATCAGAAGACCTGGCTGTCGCTGATCAAGCGGTGGTGGCTCCACGGTCCCGCGCGCGGCTTTCTTTGGGGACGCTAGGCGACGGAACTGAAGCAGAGGTCTCATCCATTTCTCGCGCAGGCTGATCTTTCGAGGGCCATGGTGAAGCTCTACACAGACCTCAAGTTCGCGTAAGCCAGTAAGCTTCTTCGAGGCGGCCTCGCAAGCTCGCTGCCTGAAAGTGAACATGGCGTTAGTTACTTCTGCATGTAGCATACCGGACAACGTCCAAGTCTGTCACTATCGCAACCATACTTACCAACTTTGATGATGCTTCTCTTGCCAAACCACGTCCACGGTCTTGTTTGGATTTCCATAAGTGCTGTAGTGGAGATGCAACCTGGTGATGCTTCCCAAGTGGATGGACGAGGCATATTTGAAGAAGTTTGTCATCCGCTTTGGCGCGTCGAAGACAAAAACTGTGCTTTGGTAGAGCAACTTCGCTGTCTCTGCATAGACTTGCTTGCAAACAAGATTTAGCGCACATAGCGAGTCCGGCCAGTTCGTTCGCAGGCCCTGAACAGCGTTGTATTTGCCAAGTGATCTCGAGAAGCGAATCACGACAGGAGGAGTCGCGCTTATCTCAGGATCAGGCGCAGGAGTCGTGCTCTTTGTAGCGATTACATTTGATGACAACTTGACAGTCTGTGGTTTCCGCTGCGTGAATTTGGATCCTTTGCTGGCGATCTCACAGCGACGCTCCGAGTCGAAGTAGTAGCCGTATATTTGGTTTCTGATCTCACCGGGTAAGGCGAGGAAGCCGCGCATCTTCTTGGGCGGAGACCCTCTCGGCTTGTGAGCGCGGGAGAAGAGACTGGTACCAGTCATGACCGCCGGGCTGACAAGCTTGGAAGCTTGTAAGACAATGTGTTGCTGTGCTAGTGAATTAGCCGGAAATGTTTGTTAGCAAATATCAAGATGCCACCGAGCTGGTGGTGGTCTGTGTCTGTATTGGAACCATGGAACATTGGAGGTGGAGCCTGGGTGCCTGGGCCCTGATATCGTACGTGGACGCTAGTCGCGTTTGGGCTAGTGATCAGAGCAACTGCGGGCAGCCACGACAGTCGCCCCTGCTGCATACCGCCATGTTAACCATCATGTCTTCGCTAATCTCGCGCCAACGTATCCTCCTTCGCCAGCCTCAATTTCTTGCAGCTCGCGCCTTCTCCTCCTCCAGGATAAACGCATCTCGCCTCCGTCAACCCGGCGAACCAACCGGACCGAACGAAGTGAGTAGAGATCACACAAAATATATGCGACGCATACACTGACCTCTTATCTCAACCTCTGCAGCCTCCGACACACATCCGAACACCTCCCTCGAAATCCCCACTCAAAGTCTGGCCCATCCTCGCGATATTGGGACTAGGCACATACCTGTTCAACGCGATAATTGATCAGCGAAAAGGCGAGGGATACCAACCAAAAGGACCTATTCAGGGCCATTCCCCCAGCGGCAAAGGACAAGTGAAGCCTTCACATCCCCACTAGAAAGATGCCTGCCATTGAAAAGACTGCCGCGGGCTCGCGCGAGTCTCCCCGCTGGTCCAGCGACGAAGTGACCGTCCTTTTCGTCCTTGGTGGCCCCGGTGCCGGAAAGGGTACGCAATGTACGAAGCTCGTCAGTGACTATGGCTTCAAGCATCTCTCTGCTGGTGATTTGCTGCGCGAAGAGCAGAACCGCGAGGGCAGCGAGTTCGGCGAGATGATCAAGACGTACATCAAGGAAGGCACTATCGTGCCCATGGAGGTTACCGTTCAGCTGTTGGAGAACGCAATGGAGGCCAGCATGGAGAGCGGAGAGAACCACGGAAAACTGTTCCTGATTGATGGTACGATGACCCATGCAGCTACTTTCCAGTCCACGGTCTAACATGATAGGCTTCCCGCGCAAACTCGACCAGGCCCACGCTTTCGAGCGCTCCGTCTGCCCTTCCAAGTTCACCATCTTCTTCGAGTGCTCCGAAGCTGTCATGGAGAAGCGACTCCTCGTCCGCGGCGAGACATCAGGACGCGCTGACGACAACCTCGAGAGTATCAAGAAGCGCTTCAGGACATTCGTGGAGACAAGCATGCCCGTGGTCAATGAATTCGAGTCCCAGGATAGGGTTGTCAAGATCAACGCAGAGCAGGAGCCTGACCAAGTTTACCGGGACGTTGTGGAGAAGCTCAAGGAGCGTGGCGTGAAGCCCATCAACATCACCTTTGTGCAGACACAGGCTTCATAGTCTATAGGGAGACGCCCAAGAATCAATATATCTGAATTGCATTGTCTATCATGCAGCTCGAGGGCTGCTGTTCATGAACCTGAAAAGCCTCATAATGCATCCGTCCCAAGCCGACCCCTTTTGAAAGAAAGAAACGCGCACCAAGACGACGTAACCACTTAGTCCATATCGTCATCAATGGCCCTCTGCTGCTTCCTCTGTCCGCCCCTTCCGCCGAACCGCGACGCCATATCGGCCTTTTGGTCGGCCTTGTTTGCTTCCTCCTCCTTCTCCTGCGCGAACCTCTGCTTCTCCTGCTGGATGACCTGCAGAACACCCTGCAGACTGTTTCGCCACAAATCTAACCTTGAGGCTACCTCTCTCCACTGGTTGTCGCCGAAGACGCGGTATGTTGAGCGGTGGATCAGGAAGGTCTGGTTGAGCTGGCTGAGCTTGCCCTCGACGAGACCAGCGCGGATCACGTCAATGACCCACATCTCGACGTCTTCGGATGGTACTTGTAGTGCCTTTGCGATCCTCTCGTAAGGTAGCGACCTAGCTTGGCCCGCTGAAGCAGCCATGGACGCAAGAGTGAGGAGGCGCATCTTGCGGTTCAAGGCACCGGCGTCAAGGCCGGACTCCTCAACCCAGCCATCGTGCTCGTCCTTGAAGTCGTTGTAGTCATCCAGGAGATCGGAGTTGAAGATTTCAAGGAGCTGGAAGTATATGGGGTCGGAGTTACGGAGGGCCTGGATCGAGTCGAGATCGGTGAGATCTTGGAAATCGAAGTGGGTCGGGTGTGTGAGGGCCGACTTGAGGGCGCGAAGAGAGAGCTCGCGAGCCTCTGGGGACGAAGCCTGCTCTGAAGGGAATGTCCTGAGTGCGCGTAGCAGATATGTGTATGCCTGCTCCTCCTCGCTTGCGTCCGATGCGACGTCGCTCACAGCAAGGTAGAGCTTGCGCGAATCCTCCTCCCCGGTCTTCCATGCGGCTATCCAGCTGTCGAGCTGCTTGAGTTGTGGTCGCAGTGTCTCGAAGTTTGATGTGGCGCGAATGACACGGAGAATGGCAAGGAGCACGTGGTAGCGCGTCTCGCTGTCCGGCTGGGTGGTGTTGAAGATGGTGCTGAGGATGGAGAGCGCAAGACCACCACCGTTCAGAGGCGACGAGGAGATGGGCGTGCTCAGGTTCTGGCACATCTTGGGGATGAAGATGGAGACATTTGGCGACTGGTTTACGAGGTGGATGAGCAGGTTGTAGGCCGCAATAAACTCTGCGCACTCATTGTTAGCCCGGTGTTTTCTCCATCAGAAGGACCCCTCGAGTCATTGCTGGAGCCGTACCCTTCTCGGGCGCCTGGTTCAGCGCCTGGCTGCCGACGACGAGCTTCTTGAGCACATCGTCCTTCTTGTTCTCCTTGAGCAGGTCCGCGCTCTCGCCCTGGAGGTTGGCGCTCTCATCGCCCTGGGATTTTTTGAGGCTGTCGATGTATTGTGCGAACTCGTCGGTAAGCTCCTCGAAGGTGCCCTCGATGAGCAGCGTGGTCTTGGCGCCCGGCATAGTGAGAATAGCAGAGACTGGTATCGGGGCAGTGTGTAGGCGGCGGGCGCAGGGGCGGGGCTGGTGGATTGTCGACAATGGGAGCGGCGTTGGTGGGATGCCAAGATTGGAGTTGGATTTTTGGGAAGTCGCTATCGATAGCCGCACAGACAAACAACACCAACAGCCAGAACCACCTGGGCACTTGCTGCCTTGGACCATGTCACCTTACTTGAGTTTACTATGTACAATTTCAAATCCTTGGAAGCCTCACAAAGTTCAGTTCGATACCAGTCAGCGTCCTCAAGGAAGCAGTGCCTTGTCCTGAACCGTGTCATTATCAAAGCCCGGCCGCTCGAAGGAAAGCACTCACCATCATACAACGCAATCTCATACACACCACCTTCAGCTTCCGGGTGCACAGCTACGAAAGACCTTTCCGTCAGCGCACTTCCATCTCTAACATCAAGGACCTTGTTATCCAAGATGAAGACCCCCCACTCTGCCAATTCTCCCTCAAGCACGTCGGTCGAACCCGGACGCAGTACATCGCTCATGTATAGGAGTTCGCTAGACTGATTCCGACTATGCAACACCACCTGCCGATCCCCATCCTCGGCCACATGAAGCTCCCACGTGTTCGTTGCATTGTACTTCACGAGATAGAACTTGCTAGCGGCATCCTGGCTGTCGCTGAGCACGTAGGTGCGTATGTCCAAAGAACTGACTGGCAGAGACACCCATTGGCTGTCCAGGGACGGATCGTCGCTGTGTGCGATAGTCAGCGACCCAATATAGAAGATTTCAAAGGACTAGACGTACGATGAGGACCGCAGCTGATATAATTGGGTACCCGGACCTGGGACATCAAGTTGGGTTCTTCTATCATGTGACCACGCCAAAGCCATGTCAAACAAGCCTATAGCAAGAGCGAGGAAGGACTTCATCCCAAGATTCAGCACTGGAAAATTGGTTGCGACGGATAGAAAGACACTCAAGTCAAGTGCCGACAACACGTATGTATAGTTTGCGGGGGCGACAGGGATCGGAATGAAGGCCCCTTCAGCCTGCAACATATCAGATTCGCTTAGATTCAAGCCTCATCTATAAACATCCTGCCTTTCTAAATTTCTCTTGGCCTGTACTCAACATGTTGCAGAGCACCCGCATGTCGATAGCATGGCTGTAGTGGAGGCGCCAGACCACATCATGTCACAGTGGGGCCTTTATGATGTTGTTCGTCGACTGCTCTCAGAAAACTACCATCTGAGACCCTGACATCTATCACTCCTACTAAAAACGTGTCAAAATGAAGTTCACGACAATTGTATCTTCGCTGGTCCTCGCTGCGTCGGCCACCGCGCAGACCACGCCCTCGGGTTTCACTCCTGCCACCAATGCAACACTGGATGTCTACTACGGGACACAGTACATCAGTCCCGGTCTCATCGTTAAGAAGTCAAGTATGAGCCCGATATGTGAAGAAGGATGTGCCATACTCATGTAGAACAGCCACGGCAAAGGCTCCTGTCATTGGTCTCACCAACACAACACTTAGCGGAAAGTACCTGCTTGCAATGATCGGTATTTCCCCTTCTCATTATCAAAAACGCATCACACTGACACTGCTCAGACATCGATGTCACCCAAAACGGCCGTGCATCAACCGTCCTGCATGCCCTCCTGCAAGATTACACGCCCTCCGGCACCAAGCAGAACGGCACATCGGTCCTCACTACGACAGCCACAACACCTTCGTCGTACTTTGGTCCTGCGCCACCCGCTGGCGCGCCTCCAACTCATCGTTACGTATTCTTGCTGCATGAGCAGCCGGCAAACTTCGCGGTTCCGGCTGCGCATCAACAGGCTGTCAGCAGCAGGTTCGGCATTGACTGGCCAAAGTTCATTGTGGATGCTGGGCTCAAAGCCCCGATTGCTGGAAACTACTTGCAGGTGAAGAGTGGAGATAACACGAAGAGGTGGGAAGCGTAGGAAGAAGCTTGTCCTTCTATCTCGAAGCGCAACATATCCCATACAAAATGCACCTCCGCGTTCAATAGTCTGCAAATGCAACTCCAAATCCCCAGCCCCCTAAATGCAACGCCGATCCCTTCCTCCTCACTACCTGAAGTCCACACCCAAATCATACCGTGCAGTTCAGGTTGTTCCCCAAAGTAGTCCTGAACACATCCAAAAGACACTGATGCGCGCGATCCCCATCTTCACTCAGTATCTCGCTGCTGTCGATAACGTATGCGCCTGCCGGAACGACGATGCCGTTGTAGTACACGACGGTATCTACCGTACGAGCTTTGCATGCTATGAATGCCAACAGTCAGCAGCTGATCTCCAAACGATGGGATATGGTAGGATACACACCTTCCTTCTCGTTTGACCACATCCACCCAATGCTATACATGGTCTGATCGTAATGCAGAATGCTCTTCGTGGTATCGTATACGACCCGCCGTCTTCTCATGTTGTTTTCTGTCCAGGCCTCATCGGTGACGGCGTAGGCGAAACATTTGTCTGATGAGCGGCCGATTTTGTCGATGGCTGTTACGCTGGTGATGGCGGTTGCGAGGATGGCGATGAGGCTTGCTTTGCGCATCGTGACGACTTTGCTTGTGCGTTTAGACGGAGGTGGCTGGAGGGGTAGGAAGGAGAAGTATTTTGCATGTCTTGTTGATATGTTGGCCTGGTAAGGGGTCCGGTTGGTAGGGCTACGGGCTGGGGGATCCGGTGTTGGAACCGTGGTACTTGGTTAGGGGACTTGACACCAACACCGAATGTTATCTCATCACTTCACCGCATGCATGCTATGTGTGTGCTTGGTACTTGTGCAAGATGAAGTACAGCAATGTATTCGTCGCGTCGCGAGAAGCAACATACCAAGCGCAACTAAAATATCCACATGAAAAGAACCCACTCGCCAGCCTCATGTCATCCATACATGAAAACCTCTGATTAGTGACCAAAGGCTTGTGAATTGCCTGCATTGATCTTGGCAAACTCCCTGTTCTCTTTCTGCCACTTCCTCGCATATCTGACGCCAAATCCGTGTTCGAACACTTCGCGGATGGCCTCAAGTGGCATCCCCTTGACTTCAGGGAAGCAGAAGATGACGAATAGCCAGCCGACGAAGCAGATGCCTGCGTAGAAGCCGAAGGCCCCTGATGGGGTGATGCCTTTCATCATGGAAAGGAAGGTCGAGGCGATGATGATGTTGGTACTCCAGCATGTGACCGTATTCAACATCGTTCCAACAGCTCTGACCTCCATAGGAATCAGCTCGGTCCCGATCCATGCCACGGTAGCCACACCACTAGCTGATTGAAGTTAGCACTGGCCTAGTGATAGCGGAAGAGAAGACAAAAAAGACTTCAGCATAGTGAGGTTACTTACAGTAGAAGCCAACGAAGATGATGATCGTGGCAATAAGGACATAACCTGGCCAGCCAATCTCTTCGCTCTGAACAGCCAATGTGCGGAGATCAATCGGGATGTAAGAGAAGCTGACAGCGGCGATAACCAGGCAGACGCTCATCCCCAGAATTGTTATCAGGAGAATGCGACGGCGGCCGAACTTGTCGACAATGACAAGGTTGACGAGCGAGAAGATGAAGTTCGTGGCGGAAACGGTAATGGCGACAGCGGTTGCGTTGTTGAAGCCTACAATCTTGAAGAGCGTCGCTGAGTAGTACATGAGTGTGTTGAAGCCCGACAGTTGTGAAATGGCCATGATCGTGCATGCTGTAAACACAGCACGGAAAGTGGATGCCGTGGTGAAGATACGGGCCAGAGTCTTGAACACCGAATCATCCACCATAGTCTGTGTGGCTTCGTTGATGCTCATCTCAATGCTCATGATTTTCGCGCGTCGCTGCTCTTCGGTCGATGTTGGGTAGATGCGCGTAAGGACAATACTGGCTTGATCTACGTTCCCGTGTGCGACTAGTTGGCGGGGAGACTCGGGGCAGAGAGTCAGGAGACCGGCAAGGAGGATGGCGGGTGCCGCACCGATGCCAACTGTTGCTCTCCAGGCTTGCGAGTTGGCGCCTCCGACTTGTGCGAAGCCGGCACCAATGGATGACGCAAGAAACTGGCCGAAGGTGACGCTCATGTTGTTAAAGGCAATCATCCGGCCTCGATATTTGGCTGGCGCCAGTTCTGAGATGTACAGAGGAACAATCATAGCCGCTGAGCCGACACCCAGGCCTACGACGAAGCGGCCTACAGCGAACTGTGGGAGGTGATACGCAGCCGTCTGGAGTATGGTGCCGATAACGAAGACGCCGCACGCCAAGAAGATTGGCAGCTTGCGACCATATTTGTCGGCAATCATACCAGCTATGACAGCTCCCACGAGGGCACCTCCAGAGGTAAGTGATGTGACGAGCTCCTGCTCGGAGGACGTGAGTTCGTGGCCGAGAGATGAGCCAATAGTAACGAGCACCGAAGAGATGTAGCCAGTATCGTAACCTCGACAAAGTCAGCAAGGTCGGATCTCAGAATTCAACTTAGGAATAGAGTTACGCACCGAAAAGGAGGCCACCGAGAGAAACAGTCATGGATATTAGCCAAGCAGCCTTCGAAGCGGCTGTAGCTTCGATGCCAGAGAGATTTGCGATTTGATCCGCATGTTCGCGCGCAGTCGTGATATCTTCAATCTTGTCGATGCTGGAAGACCGTTCGTTGAAGATATCAACCTTCTTCATGTCTTGAGCCATATTGACCTGTATTAGGCAGTGGTGAGGAGTTCGGACGATATTACAGAGGTGGTGATCAGAGTCAACAATGCAATGATGACAGGCGAGGCTCGAGAGCTTGCGATACTCCAAGCCATACTTCAGGAGATATCGCGTGCTACTTATGCTACTCGTGTAGCCTCAAATTCGCTCTCCGACAATGGCCGGCACGACGCGCAACCAAGCTCGATGCGAAGAGCTCTCGCAGGCTGACCTGGATTGCCACGTTGGGATCCGTCGCACCATACTGGCAACGCTTTCCCCAGGTTTCTGCTCGCAAGTCTCCGCAAACCTATCGGGTATGCGTCATTCTTCGCTTCGCAATGTTGGGGTGCATGGGAAAATGCGGGGGAGGGCCCTAGAGAACAGGGTAGACCGACGTGTTGGGACCGCTTGACAGCTCAATCGGATGCTGCACATTGGTTGACACGGCATGGCGGATCGAGAACGCTGGTCGCGCGTGCGGCTTAGGATAGTCGAGGATAGGAAGTTTGCGGCATAGACTTCTACGTTGGGCGCCAAGGCTCGGGGTCAAGAGGCCGTATCCTGCGGGCTTGCCGTTTTCAACATTCCGAGGTTGAGATCGGATGGATATCGCCAGACCCATCCTATGGAAATACCACAAAGCCGATAGAAGGTTACCGAAGTCCAGGCGGCCTTTGACAGACTGGTTGGATTCGTACATCATGCGACGTGACGTGACGAAAAAAGTCGGGGTAGCGGAAGCAACAGCCTTTTTCTATTGGAGCTAGAGCTTCTCCACGTCCGTAACTCAGCGTGCCACAGGGCGTTTGAGTGTCTTTCCTGCTCAAGCAATCGCTGATTGATAATGCTACTCGAAAACCATCAGATCGGCATGATCATTCATCAATGACAGTGTTGGTATGAGCAAGCGCTTCTTGGTATTACATTAACATTAGATATTGCTATAAGGTTCTCGCTGTAACGAGGAGATCTATCATACCGAAATGACCCGCAGGTCCAAAAATTGAGGATCTGAGAAGCTAATTGGCTGTCTTTAACCAATGATCTGCCATATCTCGTCTTGTCCTCAAAGAAATCTATAAAACTCATAAACTCCCCCAGGAAGTGGAATCGTGACTCGTCTACTCTTTCTTGGCGTGCTTGATGGGGTTGCCCTGCTCATCCACTAAGCCCTTCGCACGCATAACCTTGAGCGCATCGTGAATAGGGTCCAACTCTGGCTGTGGTGCCCTGTGAGAGCCGAAGTAGGTGTCGGCCCATGTGAAGTACTGTCCGTAGTTGACTGTGAAGTACATGTGATGCAAAGTGTGATGGGCGGGGCTGTTGAGCCACTTCTCTGTCCAATGGCCGGTAATCATATCGCCATCGTGAATGAAGATTGTCCAGATCTGGACAGCAACAAAGAGAACCATGTACAGATGTCTCTGCATTGGACAGATGAAAACAAAGATGCTTTTGAGATTTAGCAATGGGGTTTTGGGGAAATGGTCTAGGGAATACTCACTGGTATGGCAATGACTGAACGAACCCATCAAGCGGGTGGAACGCTAGCGCAGCCCATGGTGTAGGAACTGTTGAAATTAGCATTGCTATTTAGAGCGACAAAAATGCAAGACATCTGAAAGATACTGGGGACACTTACCAATCCATTTGTGGTGTGGCTTGTGGATGTACTTGTACACGCTGGGGTGATGTTCTAGGCGATGAATCCAGTAGATGGCAAAATCATTGAAAGCCATGTACAGAGCGGCTGAAGCCACCAGCCAGGGCCAGCCATATTCGCTTGTGTTGGTATAGATCAAGCTGTGGCCGCGCACTTCAGCGAGGAAAATAGGCAGAGTACAAAGGTTGATGAAGGGGATGGCGAAGAGCGATGATTTGATCTCTTGGGAGACTTGGTTCTTCAAGAAGCGTGGGTGGTACTCGAGCCGGCGATCAAAGACAGTGTAGTAGGACAGAGAGCTGAAAAAGAGGTAGAGAGAAGTTGCGCCGAGCTGAGTAATGACGAGAATCGATAGAATTTGACGGTAAATGTTGTCGCGTGGCCATTGGGACGCAGGCGCTGTGCTAGCGGCCGAAAAGTCTGAAAACGAAGAATTGGCTACGCTGAAGCCGGGCGAGGGGAGAGCCCATGCGTAGGCTTTGTCCAGGACAAGAGGATCCAGGAGTTCCAGAGCGACATCCATTGTTGACTGCTATGCAAAGAGAGGTATGAAAATTTGAGGTGTGAGCAAAAGGTGGCGGGATAACTGGCGCACAAGCTGCCGTTGGGGCGCGGATGGGCTTTGGCCGTGTTGCTTGGCTTGGCAGGGGTAAATTGGTAAAAGTGGGGTCGCCCTCCCTTCGTACGAACGCGCTATGGTAAACACCTCTCAACCGAAATCACCCCCAAACATCCGCCTTCCATTTGCCCCTCTTCTTCAGCCCGTCAGCCCACGCTTTGACGTCGGCCTCGGTCTTACCCTGCGCACCCTGGACCGCTTCTTCCAGCCTCATATCCACCTCCCGGGCCATGCTTGCCTTGCCGCAGATGTACATGTTGGCCCCGCCTTCCAGCATGTCCAGCACCTTGCCAGCGTGCTCGGCCACCCGGTCCTGCACATACACCCTGCGCTGCCCTTGCATTCGCGAGAATGCCGTAACGATCTCTAGCTTCTCTCCGAGCTGTTCCTGCATCTTTGCCAGCTCGTCATGGTAGATGTAATCCTCCTGGTTCCGGCATCCGAAGAACAACAACATCTTGCCAATCGGCCTACCAATCGCATGCAATTTGGCGCGCTCCTGAAGAAACGCACGGAAAGGAGCAAAGCCGGTGCCAGCGCTCACCATGATCAATTGAGTCGAAGATGTGACGGGCAGCTTGAACTTCGACTTCCTCACGTGCGCGAGAATTGTTTGGCCCTGGACATCTCCACTTCCGACTGAGTGGTGATAGGTGGGAATTGGCGTATTTCCGGCCGGGTGAAGATTGGATGCCGATAAGAGGTAATTGGACGTCAGGCCAGGAATTGTGGTCCTCGACTGGCCTTCAGTCGTGATCGTCTTATTGACTACCAGTGCGGTGATCGCGATGCGCCGGGGAGACGTTACGGAACTCGAAGAGATGGAGTAGTATCTCGGCTGAAGTGGCAGCAAGTTATCGATAACGAAGGCGAGCGGTATCGAGGTCCACGCAGCACCAGGGCTGGCAAGCTCGAGCAGCCGAGCGAACGTGACGTGTGCAGAAGACGTGAACCGCTCGTAACGCCCACGGTCCTGCGCAATGTCGAGGAGCTTCGATCTGGCTTGAGGGGTGGGCGCAAACTGAGCAACTTCGAGCACAGCCTTCCGAGCCACAGGCGCGCAAACCTCCAGATGATTGCGGAAAGCTGTCTCGAGCGTGCACGGCGACGGTATCTTTGGCTTGTCGGAATCGCTCTTCGGTGCTACGGTGAGGCAGTGGTGTCTACGGCCTTGCAAGCCGAGTATGTCGAGCAGTCGGTTGACTTCCTCCTCAGGGTTGACAGGCCAGATGCCGATATGATCCCCAGTCTTGTACACGATGTCCGTATTGCCCAGATCCACTTCCAAGTGCACACAGTTACGATCTCCCGACACGAACAACTCGCGAGAGTGTTTGATGGTCAAATGAACTATGGCTGAGTTCAAGGCAGATCGTTGGTGGTGCACCGATGTGACGGAATTTGCTTCGGGACCAGGGCTCACGGCGGCGAGATCAACCCTCATCGTCGGCTCGTAAGTGACAGCCTTCTCTTCGAACCCCATCTGAGTAAGCAGAGTGAAGACATCATCTTTCCATGCTTGATAGTCCTCCTCTGTGCCACCATTGGCATCGTCGGCTCTCTGTCGTGGCATCAGCGCAGTAGCGCCTGCAGCATCTAAGACATCGGCGACGACATCGAGGACCCTGTTGTAGTACTTGTAGTTGCTATTACCGAGACCGAACGCCAGGTATCGCAAGCTCTCAAGCCGAATGTTGTCGTCGCCTACCCGCTTGATCCAATCCCAAAGGCCGGTAGTGTTATCGCTCGGATCGCCTTCGCCATATGTGCTCAGGATGAAGATGGCGAAGTACTTGTTCTGGATCCTCGCAACACTCTCGGCATCGTAATCGGATAAGTCCGCGACCAAGGCATTTACTCCAAAGCGCGCGCCGCACTCTCGACCCAAGTTTTCGGCGAGGCGCTCCGATGTACCAGACTGTGAGCCCCAAAAGATGACGCAATGATAGCCGCCCTCATCGAGGCGTTGGCAGACGTCGCGCGTAGAAGTGATCTTCCCGTCTGAAAAGCCTTCTGCGATCTGTGGTCTCTCAAAATACACCTACAATAACAGCATGGTCAGTAATGCTGCGACATCAAGGATGCAAAGTTGCGTGGAAGTAGTCTCCTTACATGGTAGTTCGGGTCCGGCTTGTCCCAAATGCGACCACGAGTGATATACCCGAGCGATGTAAGAAGAAATAGAAATGCAGCTAGTCCGTCCGCTGCAGTCGAGGGCTTTAAACTGCTGAACACTGGTGTTGTGCTGAGTGCTTGTAGAAGAGGATTGAGATGTGACCTCAACTCTGACATGTCAAATGGTAGACTAAGTGAATTCATGATAACAGAAGGAAGCAAAGTAGCCTACAAAGGTTTGACAGGCTGAAGCGGCAATATAGCCAGGGAGAAGCAAATGGTATCCTTCAATCAGTCAAGAGCGCGTGGGCCATTGATGACAGCCGTACAGGTACTGGCACCAACCCATAGTTCTCGGGCATGACTGCCAGACCTGATTTGTCGATAACGACCAGACATTTCTGAGTGCAACGCTTTCGGTAGTCCGTTGTGATGCGTGAACGCTCGTGGCAGTGCTGATCATGACGCGAGTAAACTATGGCATCCCCGCGTTACCCCACACTTTAGCTGTCAGTTGGTGTCCACACGTAGTTCCCGATTCAACTTTTCAAGCCCGCACATACCGGTCGTAGCAATGCATTCCGCAATAGGACGTCATTC